GAATCACATGACAAGAATAATCACTTTCGTCTGCTAAAACTTGACGCACTTCCTAGTTCTGAAACAATGGTAAAGATATTGCAAACTTGGTGACTTCAACATAAAGTAATACGTAAAGGAATAATTTCCCTGCACTTAAGGACATACGCAACGTAGTTTGAACTTTGTCTTTTTCCCTGGAGTTGAAGAGTTCCAATACTTGGATTATACAAGAATTTTCATTAATTGATCTTTTCAAAACCCCTGGTAATACATGCTGATTTTTTGTCTACGAACATCTGATGACACTATAATCTTAAATTAAGAATATCTTGAAAAATCATCAGTAGGTAAGGTACGTTGCGTATATGTCTTTAAAACGTGGTTGTAATGAACGATTGATACCCATGTTTTACTTTGGGGTGATAATTAAAGAGACATAGTGAACCAAAATCTGATAAAATTCTTTTTTACATTTATATCATAAAGCGAAAGATTTATCAAAAATATGAGTATAGCAAAGTTTTGACAAACTGCACGGTAAAGCAAGTTAAGAGTGCAAAATATGTATAAGTGTGGAAAAACAAAGGTGTATCATTTTCGTCCATGTCAAAGGTCATGCGACTTTTATTTATAGCGCAAAACTTGTAAACAACACTGAAATTGAGTATGGAAAGGTAAATACTTCTGGAATTTAGAGGATGGTAATTTCTTCGTGTTTTCTGCGCAAGCGTACAATTAGGAGGAGGGGGTGGGGGTGGGGGGTGAAGGAGTATTTTTGTCCTGGACCAGACAATAAATCTTTTTTTCTCCATTAAGGTAGTTTTTTTTAGGTTGTGAAACCTGCAATTTTATGAATTTAACATAATGCTTTCAAGAATTCAATAAAATTTGCATTGGTCATGCAAAAATTCTATATATTTTTTTTCTTCAATTTCCCTCTTTTTGGCGTCACTGTGTTTCAATCTTTAACTAGTACATATATTGAAAACGTTCGTCAATATATCTAACAAATTGGAAAATTTTACTAATTTTAATAATGCTACTAGTATATTACATGTGTTATTATTTTAAGATAAATTAAGATTTATTGAAACCAATTTAGGGCCCATGGGGGCAAACAAGTAAAGAGTAACACACAAAAGAAGAAAGTCAAAATCGTCGACATAAAAAAAAAAGATCAGAAGATTACGGCAGGTGGGGATTATCTATAATAAATGCTAATTAGAGATATGTAATTATTATACGTTATGTATATTTGTACTAGAGTATTTACATTATAACTCTTTTACATTTGTTTAGTTCTTTTAAGATTACATTATGCATTTTTTTTCTTATTTTAAAAATAATTGATTAAATGATTGCCTAGCTTGAAAAGCCACATATAATTCTCATTGGAAATAATCCATACAATTTTTTTTATTTGTTAAACTATTTTCCCCCATAATTTTAAGCAATATCCTAAAAAAGAAAATCCATCTTCCTAAGTCAAGGGTTTCTGATCCACTCCGCTCCACTTAAATGTGGAGCGGAGTGGATCAGAAACCCTTGACTTGGGAAGATGAAAAAAAATCATGTCTAATTGTCTATCACGTTTTTTGTAAGGGACACACATTCTACGAATTCTTTCATTCCTTTCATCAAAGGTGAATTTCTGTCCTACCGTGTTTATAATTTTTTCACTCTTCCACTTTCAATTCTGAGACTATGTGCGCTTATTCTAAATTTACATATAATTTTCTCGTTCAAAATTTTTAGCTATAAATATTTTTCAATTTCAAACCTTTTTTTATATAGAAATACGTTGTAAGTTTACCCGACAGGCATTCATAAACCACTTTTTTAACGAAATCATTATTTTTATATCTAGTGTTTTTTTAAAGTGCACTGTAAGATATTCATTTTGTTCTAAACATGACTTTTGACTGTGCATATATAATTGATTGTTCTTTAGTTATTAAGCATATGTCCTATGACTCCTATCCCAATCGTCCATTATTGTCTATCTCGAGCTTAAGAAAAATGTACATATATATGTTATTACATAGAAAATGATAAAGAGACTTCTACTCAACAATTTTATATACATGTAACGAAATTTTCTTTTCCGAATAAAAAGATATTGGAGTTTGTATTTTTTGAAGACGAAACAAATCCACAGATGTATGTAATGAACTAAGGTACACCGAAAAAAAAAATGATGGAGATGGTTGTTGTGGGTATAAAAAAGACATGTGGTAAGCGAGAGAAAGACACACACAGAGAGAGAGAGAGAGAGAGAGAGAGAGAGAGAGAGAGAGAGTAAAAAAAAGCAAAAACACCCCTCAACACACACCACGACACGAAATATTTCTCACCAGCTGGTAAATACATAATTATGTATTTATATTTGTTCAAGATATGGAACATTATGTTTACACCATGGTTTTTGCTACCATCCTAAATATTATCGTTCAGAGGGCTGTTAAGAAACTTCATGTGAAATATATTTTATAGATATCACATACACATGATGCTCATTAATTCCCCCATATAATGCTCATTTCTTTTAACGTTAGCGTAAAATTCCACTTGAATTCTTAATTTTGATACAATTCTTGAATTTCAATAGTTGGCCAAATAATGCATGGAACAATGCTTGAAAAATCTGTTTACTTAACTACTGTCCGTGCAGTTTAAGTTGTTACTTTTTAGAAAATTGAAATCTTTGAATTGAATTAAACATATTTTATTGACAACGAGTCAGAAGGATCAGACACAATTTCAGAAACTTTGATAGTCTTCTCCTAATACAACATATTGTAAATTGCCAAAATATAATACATGCAAATATATAGTCTACTACATATAAAGTAGTAAATAGAAAGAAAATAGAATCTTCTTTAAATTTACAAATACATGTATAGAATAACATTGAAAAAAATTAGTCTTTTTTTTTTTTTTTGAAAAACGATTACATTCAAATAGAAAAAGTTTGAATAATCTAGAAAAGTTCAGTATTTGGTCATGATTAGTAAAATTATCACCACCCCATATATCATTAAATGTACATCTATAACATATAAATTATTAAATGACAGTAGCTTTTTCATTAAAGAATGCCTTGCTTTTGCATTAATTTTTACAAGCGAAAAAGAGATGGTATGCATCTTCTAATAATCCATATGAACAATTTTGACTGGTTATCAAGTTACAGCGAAATTAGTCAGAGTTTAAAATACAATGGTGTCTTAATCTTGTATGAATTATGTTCAAAAACCTTTTTCCATATGTAAAATATTTTTGTTTTACAATATTGCTGTGCGGACAGTTCTTAAAGAATAATAGAAGTTGCCTCCCTTGATTTAAGACTAAGGGAATTCCACCTTCTGACAGTATCAGGAATAAATGATTTGTTAAACACATGTAATTCTTAATATCTGTATTTTAGCAAAGAATAGTATATTGCACCTTGTATCAGGTAATATATTTTTATATAAGTAGGTACTAAATTATTGTGCATTTCAGTACAATATGTTATTAGTATAGCTCTGTTTTTTCTGTGCTCCAAAGGTTCCCAACCTGTTTCCAAATATAATGAATTTCTTGAAGTAATAATCGTTAACTTAGAAATCAATACTGGTTTGAACATATTATTATTGACTATATATTTTTACAAATTTGATTACATGCAGGCACAAGATCTAAAGACTTAAACATGCCCTTTCCCTAAATGGTAAATATAACATTCATTTTTAACTACTAGTATATGGGTCTCATTTTAAAATGAAGTAATATATAAATGATCACAACACATTCCCCCTTTTTGCATTCATTTTATTTGGTGTACCTTAGTTCAAACTTTAATACGTATATCTGTAGATTTGTTTCGTCTTGAAAAAATACAAACTTCAATTTTCGTTACATGTATATACATATTTGTTGAGTAGACGTCTTTACCATTTTCTATATGTAATAACATATATATGTACATTTTCCTTTAGTTCGAGTTAGACAATAATGGACGATTGAGATACTCAATAACTAAAAAAATTCAATTATATATATATATATATATATATGCACAGTAAAAAATCATTTGTAGAACAAATTTCGGCAAAAAATTTTATACTGTACTATCGTTCATATATCCTTAACATATTGAACGGAGGGATAATGAACCTAAGTATGTGTTGTTATTTTTTTTTTTTAAAACACGTACATCACATATATAAGTACATATTTCAAATGATAAATTTCTGAGTTTTGGTCGCTTACTGAGACTTCGATCCAATGTTTCAACAGACTGTCATTACATTAATTATACAACAGCCCTTGTATCATGTTGTGAATTTTGAATTGACTGTGTGGAAGTCAATACACAATTTACAACATGATAATTTTGATAATTGACCCAGTAAATTCAAAATTTACAATATGATACTTGTTATTTCCCAATTCAGTGCACGCAGATATACATGTACACTGTAAATTCTATATGTAACTGTTTTTGAAGATTGGGAAATGAAATAATAAGTCGAATGAAATTATTATAATTATATTTATCGTTCTACGAAATATACCTAATGTACATATCAAATGATCTCCACTAATCCTCTTCTTAACTTGTATAATCTATCGTCCGAGGGGAAACGCTGATTTAACCGCAAACTTAGAGGAGAAACTGCATAGATTTCTCAAGCACTTTATTATCTTAGATTTCAACAATTAACAAACACAAAGGATGACAATTCTAATGCCCAGATATTAATTTTTTTTTACGTTATACTGGCTGTTTAACTTTGTTAAACCTTTGTTATCTCAGCCCCCAAAAGAGGATGGGACCATGAAATTCATAATTTTTGTTCCATTTCATCCATAGATATGTTTCACGAATGCCATTATCTTAAATATGGTAAATATTCATATTCCGTAAATTCCACCTGTACATGTAACTACACATGTATATGTTTTACAAAATAACATCGGGATCGGATTCTGCAACAACGAAGGGAATATGAACGAGTTAACTATAATTTAAAGATGGCCGCGTCCATATCAATGAGGTCTACAATGAAATTGAACAAAAGTAAGCTACTTTACACAACGTAGGAGCAAGAAATTTTAACAGAGAAATAATCAGTTCATCTAGTAACAGAGAAATAATCAGTTCATCTAGGTTTAGATTTGATATGTCTTATTGCGTGAAATCTTGTTATACAACACAAAGGAGAATTTTATGGAGTAAATTCGAACTAAGGTGTACAACCTGTTTTTCCCAATCGACGTATATAGAAAATTTATTTTTATTTTGTAATCGTCAGTTTAATAATCTTATTCTTGTTACTATCTTTGTTGTTTTCTTGTCATTTTTATACGTAATTTATGGTAAAGTACATTGTTTAGCCCTTGTGACAAAGATTTTAGTTCAAGTCTTGTTTTCAATTGTCATTTTGAAGAGTAATTTTAAATATATGTGCTTTATTTTCAGAGTTGTCGTGGAGTCATTTAAAGTTGATTCTCAATTATCAGAGAATTCAGATACAGTTGTGTAGTACTAAGAATGTGTATCATGGCAAAGACTCAGATTATTTTGGAACAGCTCAAAAGTTTCCAGAATTTCATCCTGAAGATAGACGAATATGTTTTACACCAGGCAAGTAATTGAGAGTAACAACAACTTGTAGGATTAGAGATGTGGAAAGAGTGTCTTTATTATGATTTTGTCTTGGTTTTTTTTTTTTTGGTTTGTTTTGGGTTTGTTTTGGTCTTTTTATTATTGTGGACTAAACTAAAGTTTCTTATCATGTATTAAAAGTTTCACAAAAAAATAGTTCTTAATTATATATTGTTATGCCTTTTTTATGCCGCAAAATGGAATTTAAGAGTTTTTCTTTATTGCGTTGTACTTATACATTGTATCATGATACAGAGTTGGATTGTGTCATTATCATTATTGAGTTATCCACAATATTCAACTCTAATATTTTCATTGTTTATGAATAAAGAAAATCATCAGATTAATAGTAAAAATGAAGATGTACAAATTGCTTAAGAATATTGTATAAACTGGTAATGTTTTTTCAACCACAGAGGAACAACTCATGAAGATAACAATGCCACCAAATCAACCGGATAATTCTAAAATTCTGCGGATGGCAATTATTGGTGATCCCAATGTAGGAAAGTCAACTCTTATTAACAGATTGTTACAACATAAGGTAAGGAACTTATCAGAATATTAATGTGTGAAATAAGGAATTAATTACTTTGAGTTTTGGAAAGACAAAAAGCACAAGGATAATATTGTATGAGAGTAAAAATAAATCAATGCAAGAACATTAATTTACGTGTTGTTTTATTAATTTTAATAGACATATATTTTTTATAATTTGTTATTATTTTTTTTTAAACTTCAGATCCTTCCAGTATCTACAAAGATCAATACAACAAGAAAAAACACCCTTCTAGTCTTGACAAAAGATGAATACCAGATAGTATGTGGAATTTCTGTTCCATGCATGTATACTGATCTCCAAATTAATCAAAACTTTATTCAGTGTGGCAATACTTTACAAAAGATATGTCTGTAGCAGGGTTGTCCCTAAGGTTTGAAATAGCAGGGAACATTAAACAAGTTGAAAGGGGTTTGGGGTTCATCTCGTAAGAGGGGGTTGAGGGGGACTACCAGAATAACCAGTGGATGATGTCATAATGGGTGGGGAAATTTCCCGGTCCCTGGGTCTTAGAGACAACTCTGATGTAGGCCTTAAACTTAAAAGGAGGGGGGATTAAATTATGAATTAAATTTTATTTTAGTGAGGCTTAGTCAGACTGAATAACTTTTATCTGATATATTTTTATTCTTTGTAGATATTTGTAGATACCCCAGGAGTTTTAAACCCTAAAACAAAAGCAAGGTAATACTATGGCTCATTGGAAATTTTCAAAACTGCATTTTCTTTACTGATATGCCTTGATAATTAAAACATTCCTATGTTGTTTGTTTTTTTCTTCTACAAAGGTACTTTATAACTTCAAATTTAAAAAAAAAAGGAAACAGAACAAAAACAAACAGAAAAAATATTGGCAAATGTCATGTAGACATAAACATTTTTTATTATAAGAAGACATTCTTTAGATTGAACTCTGTCTCTCTCTCTCAAAAAAAAAAATAAAATTTGTGAAAGAGATGCCTGTTTTCTTTTTTCTACTTAAACTGCTTGTTTAAAGGAATTTACTACTTGTTTCTGAGATACTTAATTAAGGAAAGAGGCCAATAAGTACAATTACTTAAGAAATACTTATACAAGTATTTTAGATCAAACTATTCTTTACTTCAAAACAGTCATCACTGCTTCAAAGCACTGGTATTTGCTACACATTACAGTAAAATTCAGTCATAAGGTAGTAACAGTGACTTTGAATTTTGCTTTTTCATAACCAAGGTTATTTATATTCATAAAATAAATATATATGGAAAAGTCTTTAACGGGATTCATAACAAGTTTGTTATATCTGAGAATTCCTTATAGCCTAGTTTTACTGTATTTGTATGTGAGTAACCACAATTAATTTTTATGTCTGCTTTCCTTTTTGAATGTGTGGAACATTTTACGAAGATTCAAGACCGGTGTCATGAAGAAAGTCTAAGATATATCAATTGGTTGCATAAATGCATAATTTGTATGTTGCATACTTCCGTATATTTGTCTGTTTTAGACATCGTGTCCCATCATCCCTTGTAGTGGATCCAGATAAAGCTGCTGATAATGTTGACTTGTGTAAGTAAATGATGGAATGGAGAAAAAAAGGTTCTAGAAATTAATTATTAAATGATGATAAGAAGTTTTATTAGCTCACCTGAGCCAAAGGCTCAAGTGAGCTTTTCTGATCAAAATTTGTCCGTTGTCGTCGTCGTTGTCGTAAACTTTTCACAATTTCATCTTCTTCTCCAGAACCACTGGGCCAATTTCAACCTTGGATGAAGGGGATTCAAGTTTATTCAAGTGAAGGGCCACGCCTTCTTCCAAGGGGAGATAATTGTGAATTCATGAAAAATTTATGGCATCTTTCAAAAATCTTCTTCTCAAGAACCACTGTGTTAGAAAGTTTGAAACTTATGTGGAAGCATCCTCAGGTAGTGTAGATTCAAGTTTGTTCAAATCATGACCCCCAGGGGTCGGGTGGGGCCACAGTGGGCTATCAAAGTTTTACATAGGAATACATAAGGAAAATCTTTAAAAATCTTCTTCTCAAGAACAGCAAGGTCTTGATTGGTCATATTTATACGGAAGCATCCTCAGATAGTGTTGATTCAAGTTTGTTCAAATCATGACCCCCGGGGGTAGGTTGGGGCCACAGAGGGCGATCAAAGTTTTACATAGGAATACATAGGGAAAATCTTTAAAAATCTTCTTCTCAAGAACAGCAAAGTCTTGATTGGTCATATTTATATGGAAGCATCCTCAGATAGTGTTGATTCAAGTTTGTTCAAATCATGACCCCCGGGGGTAGGGCGGAGCCACAGAGGGCGATCAAAGTTTTACATAGGAATACATAGGGAAAATCTTTAAAAATCTTCTTCTCAAGAACAGCAAAGTCTTGATTGGTCATATTTATATGGAAGCATCCTCAGATAGTGTTGATTCAAGTTTGTTCAAATCATGACCCCCAGGGGTAGGGTGGGGCCACAGTGGGTGATCAAAGTTTTACATAGGAATACATAGGGAAAATCTTTAAAAATCTTCTTCTCAAGAACAGCAAAGTCTTGATTGGTCATATTTATATGGAAGCATCCTCAGATAGTGTTGATTCAAGTTTGTTCAAATCATGACCCCCGGGGGTAGGGCGGAGCCACAGAGGGCGATCAAAGTTTTACATAGGAATACATAGGGAAAATCTTTAAAAATCTTCTTCTTAAGAACAGCAAAGTCTTGATTGGTCATATTTATATGGAAGCATCCTCAGATAGTGTTGATTCAAGTTTGTTCAAATCATGACCCCCGGGGGTAGGTTGGGGCCACAGAGGGCGATCAAAGTTTTACATAGGAATACATGGGGAAAAAATCTTTAAAAATCTTCTTCTCAAGAACAGCAAAGTCTTGATTGGTCATATTTATATGGAAGCATTCTCAGATAGTGTAGATTCAAGTTTGATCAAATCATGACCCTCTGGGGTAGGTAGGGCCACAATGAAAGTTTAAACTTGTAAGGAAAAATCACAGTTAGTCAAAAAAAATGTGTAAGCATCCTTAGTTAGTGTAGATTCAATTTTGTTGAAATCATACCCCCCCTCCCTTTTAGGGGTAGGTCGGGACCACTTATGCATTTAAGCATTGCAATACTAAACTGATTTTTGCTTTTTTCCCAGCCACAGTGCTCAGGTGAGCGATGTGGCCCCTGGGCCTCTTGTCTTAATCTTCATCCTCAAAGGCAGTGATATGTATCTATAGCAATACTCAACATAAGTTAACAAACTTAATTTACATGCAGAGAACAAAATAATATTTTGTCACCAGGTAGTGTCAAAATAATGAAATATCAAATACTGTATACAGGGTTATTTTTGCCACGTGTTATATTTGCCTTGTGTTATTTTCACCCTTTCACACTTGCAAACAATTTTGCCCTGTTTTAATTTCTCCCAGTCACAGATTTGTTTAAGAAATTCTACTTTTTTCTTTTAATTCGCCCCTTCTTAAATTCGCCCACTTGTGTCCAGGGCGAAAGGGGCAAAAATAAAACTGGGGAGAAAATTTCCCTGTATACAGTAGATATAACAAATTACAAAAACATGTATAATGAATATATCAAAGCAGTTTTGGTAATTCCTTAAATAAAGATTTTCTTTAAATTTGATTTTACATGAATGTTATTGTGACCAATTGATATTTTCAGTCATGTTAATGCTGATTTTTTTTATTCTTCGGACATTTTCAGTGGGAGTTGTGGTGGATGTCAAGGACAAGTTTCGTAGAAATACACTGAGTAAAACCGTGATGAAAATACTTCATCTCCATAGAAACACACCAACAGTACTGATTTTAAACAAGGTAAGTACTTTATACAATGCCATTAAAGGGGCTGGGACACAGATTTGAAGTTAATATTTTCTCAAATTTTCTGAATAATATCATGGCTTATATGTTGCTATAGCATTTTACATGGAAATATAATAAAAGCGTGTTCAAAGTTTCTAATTTGGAATAAATAAGAAAAAAAAACATTCAAAAATCATGTTCATGAGAGAACCATGCAACCATCCTCTTGTAGATTCAAGTTTGTTCATTGCATGACCCCATGGACTGGGTTGGGGCCACAATTGGGGAACAAAATTTTATACAGAAATATTTAGACATCTGCAAGAAAAGGTTACAAATTGTAAATTGAAATCAACCTGTTACCTTAAATATACATTATACTGTAAACAAAGGTGGTTGAAATCACTGACTTAAATTTGGAGAGGATGACAAGAGATTACATTTTATCAGTTGTTAAGAAGAGAATGCTGACTCATGACAGCAGTGTTGCCCATGGTTCAATCTCAGTATTGTAAAAACAAAAGCTACAATCAATGTATTGATGATTTTAACAATTACATGGTAAGCAAAGTGAATTAATAACTCCTATGTACAGTTGAACCTTGTTATCTCGAACTAGATGGATCCAAGAAAAAAACTTCAAGATATCCAAGGATGTAAGATATCAAGGGTAAAATACTTAAAAAATAAGTGGTTGGGACATCCAAATCACTTCGACATGGTATTCGAGATATCAATGTTTGAGGTACCGAAGTTCAACTGTATATGAATAATCAATGTTTCCAAAATTTAGGTCGATGCTGTAGTGAACAAGAAAGGTCTCCTGAATACAATCATCTCCTTAACAAACAAAGAGTTAAATGAAAAGAAAATACCTTTATGGATGGACAAGAGAACACACAAACTGACAAGGAGAGAACAACAGGAAGACTTCATTGACTCAGTGATAGAAAAATACAAAGCCTCGAAAACAAGCAGTGGACAGTCTTCCAGCAAATCTGAGGAAACTTGTGCAGAGGACACTAGTGAGGAGCAGGATGAGGAGCAAGATGTGTCCTCAGATGAGGATCTGGATTTCAGAAAGTACATAGCAAGATTAAATACTTGTCCAGAGACTGCTGTGCAGAAAACTGGCTGGTCAAATTTCAAGGAAGTTTTCATGGTTTCTGCTCTAAAGGATGATGGTGTTGATGATTTGAGGGTGAGGATTTTTAGCTCTTCTGAGCCAAAGGCTCAAAGAACTAATGCTATGGCCATTTGTGCGGTGTGCGTAAACTTTTTAGAATATGGGCCATAACTCAAGAACCCCTTGGCCAATTATTGTCAAATTTGTCACAGGGTATCCTTGGCCCAAGGGCTCCCTTTTATACTAAAACTAGGGTTGTGACCCTTTAACAAGGCGAGATAATTAGGAAAATAGAAACAAAAGTACTGGTTGCTAAAAAATCTTCTTCTCAAGAACCACTGGGCAGATTATCACCAAACTTACACAAAAGGATGAGGATATGTTGTAGATTAAAATTTGCACGGGGATTTACCCTGGGGCAAAGGGCGTGGTCTCAAGGTCACTTCAAAGTTGACCAAAAATTACATTTTATTAAAATGTTGATATTTTGCTTACTATAAGGACTAGGATCATCAAATCTTGTCAGTTGATGCATCTAAGGACCTCATATCATGTTGACTCAAAAGTAGGTCACGGTGACCTACTTTTTAAATTTTGGGGCCATTCTTTTTTAAAATGATTTAGAGGCATATTTTGAACAATTTAAGGCCTATGATCATCAAACCTTGTCAGTTGATGTATCTTGGGTCCTTGAAGTACGTCAACTAAAAAATAGGTCACCTTGACCTACTTTTTGAATTTTATGGCTAATCTTTATCAAAACAATTAAGGCCATTAATTCCAATACCAAAAGGTTTAGAATCATTAAAACTTGTAAGATGATGCATCTTGGGGCCATAAAACGTATTTATTAAAAAGTAGGTCACAGTGACCTACTTTTTGAACTTTGCAGGCATTCGATTTCAAAGCATTTTAGAGGCATAATTTGGACATTTTGAGGCCTATGATCATAAAACTTTGTAAGTTGATGCATCTTGGGTCCTCAAAAAACATCAACTGAAAAGTAGGTCACTGTGACCTACTTTTGAAAATTTATGGCTTTAATTAAATATTTCAAGTACTAATTGGCTTAGAATCATCAAACTTTGCCAGTTGATGCATCTTGGGTCCTTGGAGTACAACAACTGAAAAGTAGGTCACTTTGACCTACTTATAAAATTTTATGGCTATAATTAAACAAAAAACATTTTAGGTATTAATTGGCTTAGAATCATTAAACTTAGTTAATGGGTCCTCAGAGAATGACAAGTGATAAAGCAGGTCACCATGACCAACTCTCAGGTACTAATTGGCTTAGAATCATCTTGGGTTCTCAGAATGTGAACTGGAATTTCAAGGGTTTATCTAAATATAAAGGATACTTAGAGGCTTCAAATAGAAGTGATAGGTTGTACAGTTTATCAGAAGAGCAATTCAAGGTCCTTGGGCCTCTTGTTTAATAAAGCTATGGTGTTTTTCAGTTTTTAAATGTAAATATTTTTCCAGTGACATGAATGATTATCTTGTTTCAGTAAAACTGATGAACTTTTTAATATGCCATTTTTTGGCTCACCTTGGTAGTCATGGAAAGCTTACTCCATACCCCTGGCATCTGTTTTCAAGGTTAAAGGTTTTTAACTGGTCCATTTTAAGTATTTATAAACCTTACCTGGACTAATATACATGTATTTATGTTTTGGATGCTGGATCTAACTCATACTTTTTAGATGTTCTCAAGTAACTGTAAGCCCTACATGGACCAAACTTGCATGGACATTGCATCCAACAGACTTGCTCGGGAAGCTGCATTAGACATATTTTCTGAATGAGTGACCAAGTAAAAGTTTTGGGAGCAGGTCCATTCCCAAGTAACTATAGACATACCTGAGTCAAACTTGCATGGTTGGTGTACCAACGGATGGACATTATCAGACTTGTACTGGATGCAGCGTGTGACCTCTATTTTCCAGCTGAGTGACCAGGTAAATCTTTTGGATCAATTCCATTTCCAACTACCGGTAGCTTAAGTTCTACGTGGAGACCAAACTTGCAGGTGTGATCAGATGCATTTAAGGATGCTCACTAGTACGCATGTTTTGGATGCTGCATCTGTATTTTCTGGATAAGTGGACAGGTTAAAAGTTTTAGGGGGAAGTCCATTCCCAAGTAATTGTAAGTCCTAACCTTGATCAAACATGCATGAAGTTTGACTTCAGGTGCTATATATCTTGGATGAGTAACTAAAACATTGTAATCATTATGATGAAAGTTACGTTTAATGCACCCAAGTAAATAATTTGATATGAAATTTTGCTTCACTTGGACTACACTTGTTGAGCCGTGCTTTGTAATCTTTGATTACTTAAGTTTTGCATAGTAATGTAATATTCATACTAAATCATCAAAATTGTTCATTTATAATAACTTGTATTTATAAATTTTGCAGGACTATATGTTTTTTTGTGCCAAGCCAGGAAATTGGCAGTACCACAGTTCAGTTTTAACAGATGAATCACCTTATAAACTGGCAGAAAACATCGTCTGGGAGAAAATGATGGACTTTGTCAAATTTCCTGTTTATGAATTACACCCTGTTAGTATTTAAATTCATTTTCACTCATCATTAAATTGACTAAAAATATCAAGCTTTGGCTCTTAGCTGGGGGCATCAAAGATAGGAAACTGCTCACATAATTTGAAGATTTTAAGGTTCATTGATACTCTGATAAGAGAGATAACTCTAATAATGATGCTTGTTTCAAAACCATCAATGTAACTTTTATTCAAGACATACACAGGGGCTACAAGAGGGTGCCAAAGTAGGACATTTTATCAAATTTCCTCAATCCTGATGGAATTACATCAAATTTGAGATACTTTTCATGTTGGGAAACATTCAGCACAAGCTTGCCAGTCTGAGATTTTTATACAAAAGATGCATCTGATGCTAATGCATGATATATATAAAATTGGTAGATAGGCAAGATTATGCTGTGTTTTCAGAAACAAAATGTGCTTCAAAAATGATGAAAATTTGCACAAACATAAGAAAATTTGGAAATTGATATGATTTGTGACCTTCATGTGACCTTTGTTTATACCATAACTTGCAATCAACACACATTTTGTAACGGAGTTGACGAATGGTTTTTAATCATGAACTATTGCATTTTTCTTGGAGACACCCCAAACTAGGGGCCAAAAGGGGTCTTAGTGAGTCTTGTCCTTTGCCAAGTTAAAAAGTACTGGTAAGTTTTACATCCCATATTTTCCCTTATCTATCCCTGAATTATGATATTTAGAATTTTTTTGTAGCAAATTAAGCTGTGGAGGTGGGACTGGGAAACAGACAGGTTAGATGTCATCATGAACATTGAGTGTGGGAACAAGTTTCTTGTGGTGAGTGAACATTGGTCATTTCATCTTCATGAAGTGATGAAAAATTATGTTTTGATGTGAAATGTTCATCATCAATCCTAAAGCATATTTCAAGGAAATTATCATTAAACCTTCTGTATAATATTTTTATAAGAGATGGAAATATTCACAAACAAGCTAACGGTAAAAAGAATTTTCAAACTATTTTTAATAAAAACTATATACAGTTGAACTTCAATATCTTGAACACCGATATCTCGAATACCATGGATGTGTTGAATTAAGTTGGAAGTCCCCACCACATACTGTAAACCAACTATTATTCGCGTCAACTTTTATTCGCGATTCATCAGTTTGAAAGCAATCCGCGACGATTAAATTTCGCGACTGAGGAAACATTCTCTACAAATACAAAGCGAAATAAATGGTTCGCGGCTATTAATATTCGCTAGATAAAGTAGGTTGCGAAACTCGCGAATATTTCTCGCACACGGATAAAAGTTGGTTTACAGTATTCCTTTATTATTTTACCCTTGATACATGTATATCGGATCTTCGGACTTTGTCTTGGTTCCATAGTGTTTGAGATAACAAGTTACATAATGCTAACTGTACTTTTGTATAATTTCATTTTAGGCAACAGTTGCAAAGGAAATTCCAATCATTGTAGAAAAAGCAGTAGAAGAGCTGAGAAATCTGTTTAAGTGTCTTGTTAGGTTAGAATTAATGGTGCTGCTTAAAAAATAAATTCAATTCAAAACTAATGGGTATTGTTTGTGTTTTATTAAATAAAAATGTCTTCCCTTCAAAGCTTGGTTTCCCTATATTGAGCAACATTAATGAAGGACAAGTCTAAATGTCTTATTCATGCTGTCCATATTGCATACTCTCAAAATAAATATATGTGTATAAAGTTTTACATAGTCAAAAGTTTTAATTCATCTTTTGGTGGAATGCATCCAGTCTTAATCAGCATTTAGTATTGTAAGTTTCAAGTCTAAATTTCAAAAAGTTCTCAATTTATGGCCTGGATATTTTTTTTATTTTGACCTTGATTTAAGAAATGGGTCAAGGTAAAAAAATCATGATGCATCTCATCTTAATCTTATTTTCACTGTGTTCCAAGGCTTAAATCCTAATTTCAAAGTTACAGTTCTCAATATATCACCTGGACGTTTTTGTTTAATTGATTTAAGAAAGGGGTCAAGTCAAATATTTTAGTGCATGGCATTTCACATTAATCTCATCTTTCCAAGTTCTAAGTTTGAAGTCCCAACATCAAAGGGTTCACAAAGTCTAGACATTCTTAGGTCACTTGAGTCACACAGGTGACCTTTAGCTGTCTGACAACATCTGTAAAACTTTTTCTTCTCTGAAGCAATTTTACCAATTTAGGTCCTGTAACATTGTCAGATATCCGATATCCACAGCCCAAACCACTACATAAGCAATCTTTATTCACCCATCATATCAAAATCTCAAATTATGATCTACAATGTAGATATTTTTTTAATTTATATGACCTAGATTGAAGAAATGGGTCAATTTCAGAAATATTTGGTGTAGTTGTCTTAATGTCATCTTTCCATGTCTATAGTTCAAATTCCTAATGTCAAAATTTTCAGATTATGCTGTGGACAATACTTTGATAAAAAAGATTGACAGTGACTTAATAATGAGTCAAGGTCAAAACTTTTGAATGCAACCCTCCTCAATATCATCTTTCCATGTCCCAAGATTGAAGTCTTAATGTTTAAAAAAGCTTCTCAAGCTATAACCCCAAACAAAATTTCGTTGAAGATGATTATATTTTACTCATTATTTATCTTCAAACTGTAAAACCATGCTAATTATGAAGCTAACTCAATAAGTTTCAATTTATTGAATTATTTTATTCCACCAGCAGAAAATGGATAGTTTTCTTTTGGTATGGACATTGTAATAATTGGTCACCATTTAATTCACTTTAATCTGTGACTTTTTCCATTGCAGTCAAAATATTATGAATGTTCTTACACCATACTGCTGAACAAATTTTCCAGATTGTATCACTACAGCCATAAAAGAATTATTTCAAATTTAAAGGGCCATAATTCTTTTCAAGTTCACCACAAGGGCTGATACCTCATCATCATACAAAATAGATAAACAATCCTACACGCACATAACTCAGGAAATCAATGTATGCATGCATAGAGAATTAAGTCTATAAAAATCACATGAAACTGTGACCTATCTAAGAATTTAATCGGATAATAATTTCTTTTCTGCTTAATATGTAGGTTGTGGTATGTACAATCACAATATACAAGAAGCTCAGTGTGGAGCACCGGTCTACAGCTCAATGGGGGCAGTTATACGACTTCTCCCCTCTTGAGATCTAGAAGATCCCCCCCCCATCATATTAGTTTGTAATTTGGCAAACCATTTTTGAAATAAGAACTGCGAACGATAGTATTGTTCTCCCACCTACATCCAAGTCAATTTTCAAAAGTTAACATATTTGAATGATTTTTCATATTTATATAGATATCTAATTATATGAATTTTCATAAAACATTACTTATTTGGGAAAACAAAGAGAGATAATTCTATAATTTTGGTAGAACTTTTGTTTTTCACTAGAGAAATCAATGGAAAACGGAAAATATTTTTAAAATAACACCCCCCCCCCCCCCCCCCCCGTGAAACAAAAATTCCTTTTTACAGATAATATGGATTGTTATTTCACAAATTCATACCAAAGCTTTTTGTGTTTCACCGGGGTTGGGGGTTGGGGGGGGGGGGGACGACATATGTTTATAGACAAAAATGCTCATTTTTTCACCAATTTCGTAGGGGTTTACAACTTAAACGTTGTATTTAATCAATTACATATGTTTAATTTTATATGTGTAAAACATAAGAAAAGATTTAAGGAACATTTATCCATATCCAAGAATATTTTAAAATATGCTGCTACTTTCAAGCCTGATTTCAATGGAAAACATCGTCTACCCACCTTATAAAAAGAGCTGAAGTTAAGAGTAATAAACTATTTAACACTGGTATTAAAATTATTAATCAATTACCATTGTACTCTTCTTTGCATTCAACAAAGATTTTATGGCCAAATTGCCATTAGTATTGAATTAAATGGGTGTAAAATGTAGGCGGGAATCGAGAGTTAGCGTGCGTGGTTCTTCGTAATAAATATAATTGAATATGCCTATTTAATATAATCAAACAATACAAAAAATGAACCAACCATAATTATTTATACAACATTTAATATCTATTATGATCACAAAGACATTAAAGCAAACATATTTTTTTACATGGTAACATAGTCATTACACCATCAACCATTTTACTAAATAAAATAAAAAATATCTGATAATTCTTAATTAAAATAATCTATCTGTTCATCTTGTATGCATTGGAAATTAAAAAAAAATATTTAAAGCAACACAGTGATGGAAGCACTAAAGAACAAACTTGGCTATGTGTTTGTTGCTTGCTATAATTGCCTATAAAGGTACACAAGTTTATTTGTCAAACATCAACAATATGTTGATTAATACATGTATGCATAACATCTATTAGTTAAATAAATTTGTAATGGAAAATGTATATCTTTTTCAATATCAATTTTCTTCTCATAAGGATATAAAAATGAAAAAAAAGGAATAAGATTCCAAAATGATATCAATTAAAAAAAAAAAAACAGAGCTCCCGGCTCTGTTTTAAAGATGTAAAATAATGCTGAAGTTTTCTCTTTTTGCAATGAATGCACTGGTCATTTCACGAGAAACATGATTAAACACATAGGTTACATATAACAACAATATCCATTATCCGTATCTATCCAAATACATATATTCTGAAACCTGCAAGTTAAAAATCAGACCACTATGTTAAAACCACTGTCAAATCACTGGCCAATGAAAAATCTTCACCCAAGAGAAAATATCTAGTATAAAAATACAATGGGGCCTGACATCACATAAAACATTGCAGTAAATGACCTGCAGACTTTGCTGCATATGCATTTTTCACACAGGGAAATTTTCCAGTTGTAAATCATTGGGAGCTCCTTCTCCAAGAATGCAATGTGTTGTCCCTCTTTGAAAACACATTCTGTTGAAAGTTAAATCCGGGTTAGATTATTTGCACAACACTTTTTATCATACATCTAAATTTTTAGGTGTTTGTTGAACAATAAATGGTTCACTCCACATCCTCCTAAGATCTCCCTACAAATGACAATATGTTTAAAGCATAAATAGTTTTGTTTTGAAAACTGCTGTGTCCATTAAAAAAAAAAAAAACTCATTGAAAATTGGCTTTGATGAGGAAAGAAGAAATGATCCTACGAATTTAAATACAGGGTGCTAAAGCCTTAAAATAGTCTAAATGTAAAATTACAATATTTCTTGGAAAAGCTTTTCAAAGTAATAATGAGCTCCAGTAAGATCACATTAATGCTAGAGCTGGCTACATTACCTTCAGATATGCCATAGTTAACAAGGGAAGAAGTGTGAATGGAACAAGGTACAACAGAGCTGGCTGGGCAGCCTTAAACACCTCTGATGATATGGTGGCAGTTAGCAACCCTGACAAAGAAAATGTAGAGTACAAAATGGCAGTCTGAAGTATAGTGGTGCAAGCTGCATGACATACAATGTATATACAGTATTTCTCACAATTTTTACACAGTAAAGAGAACTGGGAGCTATATCTCAAATAAAATGGATATGCTGAAGTGAATTGAAAGTCCCGTCTACCTTTTCTTTATGTACCGTATTTGGCCGAATATAATACGCATTGGTGTAAAATATGCACCCCCCTTTTTGAGCCTGAAACTGGGGGAAAAAATGCAGTTCGGTTGTATTATATGCAGCATAAAAACTTTACCATGCGGTGTTCTGAACTTTTGAAAATCGCGGTAATTTGCTATAAAAATCGGCGCGGAGATAAAGTGCCGAAAATTTACAGAACACGATATTTTATTCAAATGCGTTTTTATTTTTTAATCTTGACTTTCCATATCGCGGCAATCTGGAGGAAATTATTTATTTTAACAAAGCATGAGATAATGTTGCATTTAAGTATTAACAGAGTTCATTATTATTTTTTTTTTTTTTAGCAAACGGTGATATTGAAATTATACGTCGCCGTATTCTATCTATTCTTTGTGGAAATAATTTTATTTCAACAAAGCACAAGATATTGTTGCAAGTTTAACAGTTGTCAAATTTATTTTTAGTTTAAGGTAATCATGTTGAAAATTATGTAAATTTAACAGGGCAAGCGATATTGCAACATCAAAGTATTCATAGACTACAATTTTCCTCTTTTGAACTTGAAATTAATTAATTAAATTAATAGCTGATGTTATAAAAATAAAATCAGTTTAACAAGCGTATAAAGTGTAGTTATCAACACACCTCCAAAGCTGTGAAAAATGATGTACAAAGGTGGGATATATGTCTTCATACATCGAGGTAATCTTCGTGGATATCTTATTTTCTACAGAGCACGAGTAAATGATAACACTTAAGTTTCAACATACTTCATATTTCCTTTTTTAACTCTCAATCATTTTAACACGAGGCCGATATAAGTTAAAGTAAAATTACATTTAACAAGCGTTTATCTGTTTAATGTGTTGTAATCAACACACGCTTATACATACGAAAGATCATAAACCAACCCCCGATTTTTAACAAAGAAAATAATCAAAGCCATTAATAAGGGCAGTAAATAATCAGTGCTCTGACTG